ATTTTGTGAGCGGGTGAGCTGTTTGCTTATGTGCCTGTGTGAAGTGTCAATGTTTGTCTCATCCCTGCATCTGCCTGCTTGCCTTGGGCTTGTTCTGCTCTTCATGGTCTCTTTTGCTCAACAAAACCCTGATGCTTAGGAAACAAAAAAACGCTGGGGGCTGGAGAGGTTGCTCAGTGGTTAGTGTATACTGGAGGGCTGGAGAGGTGGCTCAGTCTTGTAGAAGACATCTTACGACCACCTGTAACCCCAATTCCCGGGGGGTTCAACTCACCTCTGGCCTCCTCTGGCACCTGCATGCACACACACACATAATTTAAAATAATAAATATAACTCTTAAGCCCAATGAAATAAAACTTGATTTCATCTCAGCCTGTGGTTTAATTTTGAAATGTTAAGGTGATAATCTTTTTTTGGAAGTAGTTTGGAAATGTCAGTGCTGTTAATTTCCTCGGACAATGAGGAATCGAGGCAATAGCCACTAGCCACTAAGGATTGCTCGGCCCCAGCCTGACCATTCTGTTCCGCTTGCAGAAAAAACATGCCCAAATATCAAAAACGACCTGCCCTGCTTCCAGTCAAACTACAAAATACCTGTAACTCCCTGTAGCTACTTACATATGTGTGCATATGTGTCGTCAGCACACATCCCCAGCCCCATTAAGTGGACTCAAAAAAAAAAAGCAAAGCTCCTCTGGCTGGGCCCAGGCAGGAAAGCTGTGTTAGCCTGTGGCGGTGGCATATACAGACGGGGAGAGGCACTGGCTGCCGAGGGACCCTACCCTTGAGAAAGAGGACCTTTTGTGCTTGCCTGGAAGCTCCCAGGACAAAACATATTCAAATGCTTATTTTCAAGAAAAGGCAAGCAGTGCATCCCAGAACTGGGCATTTTCCCTTTCTGTCACCTCTTCTGGGTACAACGTAAGTCCTTTCCTCTCCTATGGGAAAAGCCTTTGTTTCCCTGGTCATCTGGGTGTATCTCTGTGTGACTGTGTCCCTGGGTGATATGCACGCTCCCCGTGTGACTGTTCCTCTGGGCATATGCACTCTCTGTGTATAACTGTTTCCTTAGGTACATAGGCTCTTTGTATGTGACTCTGTAGCTGAGTGTGTGTATGCTGTGTGTGGCTGTCTCCAAGTATATGCGCTCTCCAATGGGACTGTGCCTCTGGTTATATGCACTCTGGGTGTATGATTGCTTCTCTGGCCACAGGCAGTCTTTGGATGAAACTATTTTTACTGGGCGTATGCATTTTCTGTGTGAAGTTTTCTCTGGGTATACACATGTCCAGATGTGTATAAAATGCCTGTTTGCCCCTCTCTCTCAGCACTCCACTCTGAGTTCTGGGCCCTGACTCACCAGTTCCCATCCCCTGGAGCTCAGCCTTTCCTTTCTCCTGCCTCTAGGATAGGGCTGAAGAAGGCTGGGGCCTCCGGGGGAGATGACAGGCAGAGACAGGATGGAGTCCCTCAGGCTCCCCTAATCCCCAGCCCTTAGTCAATTACACTTTGCTTGGTGCCCAAGAGTGGAGGCACAAGCTCAGGGCCTGCAAAGGCCTGAGGAGGGAGTCCTGAGGAGGGGATCCTGAGGAGGGGGTCCTGAGGAGGGGCTTCCTGAGGAGAGGATCCTGAGGAGGGGCTTCCTGAGGAGGGGATCCTGAGGAGGGGCTTCCTGAGGAGGGGCTTTCTGAGGAGGGGGTCCTGAGGAGGGGCTTCCTGGGGAAAGTGTCCTGAGGGGGGCTTCCACCACAGAAGGTTTTCTGCCTCAGAGTCAAGAGCCCTCCCTCAAGTGAGGGGCAAGAAGCACCATCTAGTGGCTCTGATATGTCCTGAGTCTGGGAAGGCCACGAGGAACAGGACGGTAGCCCAGACTCCAGCTCTCAGCCTTGTAACATTAAAGCCTACCATGGCCTCACAGTTGTCACCTTTATGTCCTGCTTAGCCTCTAGTGTCAAATTAACACAGCCTAGTTATCTGAGAAGAAAGCCTAATTGAGGACTGTGCTTGTCTGTGGGGAAGGCATTCCTCACCCAGGTGATACTGGACTGGATGGGAAAGCTAGCTGAGTATGAGCAGATGAGCCAGCCAGCCTGGAAGCAGCGCTTCTTCATGGTTCCTGCCCTGACTTCACTCAGGAATGGACTATGACCTGCAGCTGTTAGGCCATGAACCCTCTCCTCCTCAAGCTCCTTTTGGTCAGCATTTAACCAGACTAGAACACCTTATTTGGAGTGTGTGTGTGTTGCTAGGGTTTTGTAACAAACCATTACATCTGTTTCTACTTCACCTCACTTTGACAAATGTCTCCCAAGCAACATCTCAACACCTCAACACAGTGCAGGGCTTTACAGGTTATTCCAGTGTTATTCGTCCAGGTCCTTGTCTATCACTGAAGGGAGTCAGGATCAGAACTCAAACAAGAGCTCAGCAGAAGTCACGGAGGATGCTGCTTTCCGTTAGTAATCAAGTTGCTCCCTCACAGGCGCACCCACAGGCCAGCCTGACTCATGCACCTCCTCCATCGAGGCTTGTCTTTTCAGATGACTCTAGGCTGTGCCACTGTCACAAAATTTAATAGGACAACAGACAACTGTCAGTCCGACACAGTGAAATCAGGACTCCAGTTTACAGAAGACAAGGTTCCTAGGAGTCACCTGCCTAAGGTCACCAAGACAGGATGCAGAATGCTGGAATCTGCGATAGCAGCCCAGCCTCTCCATCTGTGTGCCCGTACATCAGATGACCTGCTGCTGAGCTGTGTGCATGCAAGGCTCACCCCAGCCCTGCCAGGGCCTGTCTCTCATCTTGGTTAGGCTTGCTCTTCCTGGCTCTGCTTTTCAAATCTAGCACCAGCTCTTGGCTCCTCAGTGGTGCCCCATTTCCGGGAGCTGGCAAGTACTGGCAGTTCCTAAGGCCTCCCATGCAGCTTGCCTATCCTGCAGCCCTCCCAACCCAGGGCCTCTCTCCTGGACTCAAACCAAACCAACCCCACAGCTAGCCTATCATACAAGAAGTCTTCAGTTAGAAGGCATGATCCTGACTTCTCCAACACCAGATAAAATCTGGGGTGATGGCTCACGCCTCAAATTCTAGCCTTCAAGAGGGGAGAGACTGGCATCTTTCAGGTATCTAGAAAGTTCGAGGCTGTCCTGGACTACACAGGATACACTGTCTCAAAGGCAAAACAAGGTTGTGTGCAGTCTGCGCCTTTCATTCCAACAACTGGGAAGCAGAGGCAGGAGGATCTCTACGAGCTAGATCTGTTAGCATCCCTTCTAGGCTCTGCCCCACAGTTGCCTGGCAACAATCGGGAAGGCCTGGCTTACTATAAAAGCTGTTTGCCACCCCCCACCCCCACTCTCTCATTGTCTCTCTCTTATTCTCTCTCTCTCTCTCCCTCCCTCCCCCCCTCCCCACAAGTTCCTGGCCAGCCTCTTTTCTCTCTGCCCTTCTCTGTCTCTACGCCCTCCCTTCTCAACTCCCCTTCCCACGCCCTAAATAAACTCTATTCTACACTATACCTGTTAGCATTCTAAACTCCACCCCCACAGTGGAGTTGGCAACAGCCAAGTAGTCCTGGCCCACTATAAAAGGGGCTGCTTGCCCCCTCCTCCCTCTTGTACTCTTGCACTCTTGCTCTCCCTTTATCTCTTGATCCCTCTGTCCCCTCGCCCCTTCCCCCTCTCTCCACGTGATCATGGCCGGCCTTTACTTCTCTTCCTCCTCCTCTTCTTCTCGCTCTTTTTTTTTTTTTCTTTCTCTCTCTGCCTCTACTACCCTCTTAACTCCCCTTCCCATGCCCCAAATTAACTCTTCTATTCTATATCGTCGTGTGGTTGGTCCCTCAGGGGGAAGGGATGCCTCGGCATGGGCCTGCTGAGACACCCACTTCCCCCATACCTCACCACACACTCACGGAACATATTCTGTATCTCTTTATCTTTTTATAAACACATCAATACCCGTCGTATGGCAGGTACCTCAGGGGAAGGGATGCCTCAACGTGGGTCTGCCGATGCACGCCACCCCACAGCTCACCACACCGCGCTTCTAACAGACGTATCTTGTTCTCTTTATTTTTTATAAAACAAAAAGATTCCAGCCCGGTCAAAGCACCTTGTGTTGTGCCTCATAAAGATGTACAAATACATAGATTTTAAAACGGTGTAAAACTTAACACGCACATCTAACTATAGGCAACATGGAAAACACGCACACACAACTTATGTGGATCAAGGAAAACCGTCCAGAATGTTGCCACCTAAAGGTAGCTCGCCGAGTTCAATCGTTCTCCCCAAATCAAGCGAGGACCGCACCCCACTCAGGAGGATCTCATTTCAGGGAAGTCAGGAAGGCGAGCGCTAAAGCGTCTCGCCCGCCCCGCTCGCGCCTGCGCGGTGTCTCGGTGCGCGCCGGCGGTCGGTTACGCCCAGTTGTCTCTCGGGATCTAAACTTGGGACGAACTTCTGCAGAGCGCCGAGGCTACTTCCGGGTTGCTGCGTCGCTCCCCTGCGACGTCACGCTGTCCCGCGCTGCGGGGGCGGGGCCTTCGGAGCGCACCGCTCGCTCTAATTCCGGCCCTCAGCCGCGCGCGGCGGCAGTCTCGCGAGACCTCGCCGGCAGCGCACAGCTCCGGGCACTTGCCCTTCCCGAGCCGGCGTCGGCGGCGGAGTGCGCAGGCGCGGCCTTCGGGTTTCCCCGGCTACAGTCGGCGCTTCGGCCCGCTAGTCCGCCGCCGGCTCTTCCGCCGCCCTGCGCCATGGCGGGCTGCGCGGCGCGGGTTCCGCCGGGCTCCGAGGCGCGCCTCAGCCTCGCTACCTTTCTCCTAGGAGCCTCGGTGCTTGCTCTGCCGCTGCTCACGCGCGCCGGCCTGCAGGGCCGTACCGGGCTGGCGCTCTACGTGGCCGGGCTCAACGCGCTGCTGCTGCTGCTCTACCGGCCGCCGCGCTACCAGGTGCGGGCTGGGTGCGGAGGGACCGGGCGGTCGGGGGGGACCGGTGGACCGGTTGACCCGGACACGGACCAGGCACAGGGCGGGACGGACAGGATGGTCCGGTAGACCGGGACTCCAGACTCGGACCCGGACCAGGATCGGGGTGGACCGATAGACCTGGAGAGGGACGGACGGGTGGACCTGGACCAGGCGGGCTCGGGGCAGAGTGGGCGGAGTAGGTGCGGACAAGGCAGGACAGTGCTAGGGCAGGGCGGGACGGGTGCGCTGGAGCTGGAGACAGATGAGCCCGGGTCGACGGGGATCAGGAACCGGACCGATCAGGCAGGGATGGGGCAAGGGTAGGTGGGACAGGTACATTAGAACCGGGAAGTCTGGGCGTGGGGACCAGGATCTGTCAGGCAGGGCTGGGTAGATGGACTGGGGACCCGGACCGGACAGGCGGGGAGCAGGTATGGGAACTAGTCTAGCGGGAGTGCGTTAAAGGAACATTATATTACCTAGTCCGTCGGTAGTAGGTTCATCCCCTTTGCCCCTCACCGCGGTGATGCCTTCCATGGGCTTCTATGTCAACCATAAGTTGAGGTCACAGGAGGGACACACTTGTAGCTGTGGGTGTTAATTGCATTTCCTGCCGATCAGCAGCTTCGGCAGATGCACGTCAGGTGGGAAGTGAGCTAGCCCACGAGATTTTAATTTATGGGATGTCAGGTGTGGTGTTTTACCTGCTGGTCAGACGCCCCGCTTCACAGAGGTGACGGGGCACAGAGTTCGAGAGTTGGAGTCTTTGACTTGGGAGCATCAGCCATAAACTGGGCTTAAACAGTTTTTCCGTAGTTAGACCTGCTGCTGCCGCTAGCACTAATAATAGTTACTGTGGCCGTTAAAATTGGTTATTCTTAGGTGCTTTGTATGGTGAATCCTCTGTGCCGCCCTAAAGCACAATCCTGTTGTTATTCCCATGATTTAGATGGGTAAACTCTTAGTAATTAAAGTAACTTGTCCAAGGCCAGAGCCGGACGGAGAAGGACAGGGTTTGAGCCCGAGCAACTGTATTTCATCCTCTTTATCTCTTGAGCAAATGGACTCTCCTCACTGAGGGCCTTGCTAATCCAAGACAATCTGCAGTCTGGGTTTCAGCTCTGCAAATGGAACATCTGGTGGTGACTGAGGCCTTTTCTGGGTGTGTTTCAGATAGCCATCAGAGCTTGTTTCCTTGGCTTTGTGTTTGGCTGCGGTGTGCTGCTAAGTTTCAGCCAGTCCTCTTGGAATCACTTTGGCTGGTAAGAGAGACTTTGGGAGCGATGGTGTTGAGGTGAGGGTTGGCAGCAGTGGGCAAGTAGTGGCCTCTCCTCACCCCCGGCTGGGCTCTTGACAGAACAGGAGGCTGGTTAGGATTCTGAAGAAGCAGCCTCTTGCCTTCCCCGAATCCCCACACTTCAGATCGTGAACACGACTGTGCATGTTAGTGGATTATGTCTGTGGTGGATGGAAACGGGTCTCCCTGTGCCCTCTCCAGAGGGCCCCTCACCTGAAGTTGCTGTGACGAGCCTTTCTCTGAAGGGGTGCAGGTCCGCGGTGATGGGCAGGGGCGAGTCTCCCGGTGTCTTCTAAGCCTTTTCCATCTCGGTTTCTATTAGGTCCCGGCTAGTGCTCCCCCCACAGCCAGTGTAGGACTTTCCCCTACACTATGAGTTCAGTCCCTTGAGCCTTCTAGCCTCTGACTTGGATATGAACCGTGGCTTCAAGGTAAAAAGCTTTATCTCCTACTGTCAGTATGCTGAGCCATCTAATCCTTCTTTGCTGGAATTATTTTAGTTCTGTTGAATTTTGTTCCCCACATGCGTCACCACTTTGTTGATCTCTCCCCTCTCATGTTAACATGTGAAGTTGTCATATTAAACGAGTAAAGGACCAGAGTTGCTCCTTCACCTATGGAGATTCTTTTAGTTTTGTCTGTGACATTCAGAAACATAACAGCACCACGGAACCGCACTTGTGCCTGCTGGAGAGGGAAGGAAGAACGTGCATGCGTGCGTGTGTGCGTGCGTGTGTGTGTGTGTTTTTGTGTGTGCCCGTTCGTGTGTATGTGTGTGTGTGTGCGTGTGTGTGTCCGTGTGTGCGCGCGTGCCTGGTGTTGCCCAGGTGGGTGACAGCAGCACCACATGCCGGTTCGGGGCAGCTGAGCAGCCCAGGACTGTGCTTTTGCCTGACTCGGTTCTCTTGTCTGCTTTACCTCTTCCTTTTTGTTTTAAATAGGTACGTGTGCTCGCTGTCTCTGTTCCACTATTCTGAGTACTTAGTGACAGCTGTCAATAATCCCAAAAGTCTGTCCCTGGACTCCTTCCTCCTGAATCACAGTCTGGAGTACACAGTAGCTGCCCTGTCTTCTTGGATAGAGTTCACAGTTGAAAACATCTTTTGGCCAGGTTGGTGTGCCCTGCTTTCCTTGGTGTGGGAGAGAAGGGTGCCTCCAGAGCTGGCTGAGAGGGTGACATTGACTCACCTCTCAGGTCTAATCTCCCCTGAGCTCTTCTCCCCGGCCCTCTCCTCTCCCTAAGCTATTTATAAAAGACAAACTCCACTTGCTGGAGAATTCTGCTTCTGGATTTCGAATCCAGGACGTTGGCATTTTGCTGTAAGCCTTGCATAACGCAGGGTACTACCTAAGATGGAGCCCTGCCTGGATGATTGTAGTCTTGACTTTGTCATTGGACTGGATGAGGTTTGGGCCTGAATACTGTCTGTAACACGAACATTTCACAGGGTTTTGTTACAAAATCCTCTGAATTGGGACCACACTTAAACTTCCCAAAAAGCCGGATGTGGGTCCTAGGGCTGACTTTGGGACCCAGGACTGTCTCTACTTTTCTCAGCAGCCCTTACTCCTTAGGGAAGGACAGAGCCAGTCCGCCCAGGCAGGGAGAGCTGCTTACAGCTCATGTGTTAGCACTTAACATAGGGTTGGAGTTTTCTTATAATCAGGTTTAATGTGTGAGAAACGCCAGTTGCCCCTGGGTGGTTCCTGATGTTCCTTTCTGTAGGGAGTAGGTTCGTTTCAAACAGTGAAGGGGGGATCGGCGCCCCAGGGCCCCCACTCCCTCCTTGTCTGTCTCTGCAGAGCTGAAGCAGATTACCTGGCTCAGTACCACTGGGTTGCTGATGGTGGTCTTCGGAGAATGCCTGAGGAAGGCTGCCATGTTTACAGCTGGCTCCAACTTCAACCACGTGGTGCAGAGTGAAAAGTCAGACACCCACACTCTGGTGACAAGTGGGGTGTACGCTTGGTGCCGGCACCCCTCCTATGTGGGCTGGTTTTACTGGAGTATCGGCACCCAGGTAGAGTACCAAAGTTGACGCTGCTTTCCTGGGAACTTAGTTTTCTAAGTTTCTTTCTTTTTGGTATCTTGACACAGGGTTTTGCTATGTGGCCCAAGCTAAGTTTGAACTTGTAACCCTTCTATCTAGACCACTTGACTTTTTTATGTTTCTTAAATTGAAGTGTAATAGACACACTATACACCCACCGTTTCTAAGTGTGCACTTTTTTAAGTGTCCTCGTGTGTGCACAGGCTGGTTTGCTCATGTGCTCCCCGCCATGTTGCAGGCTGTGACTCTAAAAGCTGGAGACCAGATCTAGCTTTTTGATGTTTTAGAAGTAAAATCAGGACGTTGTTTTGAGTTAATTGTTTTATTTGTTTTAAACTTGAGGACAATTTATTCTTTAAAAGGAAAACCACAGGCAGGCACGTGATATCTTGCAGCTTCCAGGAGCACAGAGGTGGAGCATCTGCAGGGAGAGAGCTTTAGGACAGGAAGAAGGGAGCCCAGGATGCTAGTCAGGGGGTAAAGCACAGACAGTGGCCAGCAGTGGGAAGAGACAGCCGTACTGCCTTCTGAAAGGCATCTTCTAGGACTGCCTGTTTCTGAGTGTGGGACCTCTGGTGGCAGAGGTACAGTTCTGCCCTGCATTGGGCCCCTTTCTGCCGCTCTGACTCGGGTCTGAAACACCTTGGTCGAGGGAAGGTAGGCTTTAGGGAGGGAGTGTCCTCAGCCACCCTCTGGTGGCTCAGTGGGTTTTTATCAAAAAATAGGTCTAAATGAGGCCAAGGTCCTGCCAGGTTAATGAGTGCTGTGGGCTCACTGTCCCGGATGCAGACAAGCCCTTGGTTTTGACAGCTGTCTCTGGATTCTATACTTAGTCCTAGAACAGCTTGGCCAGAGTGTAACTAGAGCCTGGGTAGCTCACCTAGGGCCCAGACATCCCAGCACTGGGGCATGGGCCGTGGGGACTCTGGTGACCCTATAATCGTGTGGGAGGGGCAGGTGACGGTAGCATTTCTTTCAAAGCTTTGTGTTTCTGAGACATGTCATGATGTTTTCTTTCAGTCACAGCCCTGGGGACACACTGAGGGGAGGTGATGAGTGTGATTTGCCTTAAGTGCTTGTGTGTGCCTAAGTGCTTTAGAGAGGAAGGATTTCTCATACCTTTTTTGGATGATGGGTATTTTCTACATTGTTCCCTGGTACGTGTGCTTGCCTGGGTGTGTGTGGGTGCTTGCATGCACACGCATGCACACGTAGAAGGTAGGTCTCACTTGCAGCAGTACTTACCCCTCATACAACACACGAGCTTTCCTCTTGACTGGGACGCTGCTGGTGGACACTGGAGTCTGATGGCCTAGCTCCGTAGAAGGGTTTTGCTGATGATGAAGAAACTTGCCATCAAGGCTGCCCAGCTATGACTTTGTGCTGCCAGGTGGGCGGGGCCTGGTCACTGAGGCTTCCCTTGCCTACCCTAAAAGCCAGGACACTGGTGTGGGAATGATGCTGCCATGTCAGCTGGGTGAAGGGTTAGCCTCTCAGCATGGTGCTAGGAACTCAGTGAGCGGTGCAGGGACCTGGTAAGGAATGGGGGGGCGTGTCTGGTACCACCAGGACTGTTCCTGATGCCTGCTGTGGGTAGGACTGGGTTAGTGGTTTCCACAGCAACAAAGGAAGCTTCTAGGAGCTGGGCATGCTTTCAGCCTTGAGGGACTTTTTGGCTGGAGAACCAGGTAGGGCAAGGGTGTGTGTGTGTGTGTGTGTGTGTGTGTGTGTGTGTGTGTGTGTGTGTAAGTAAAGAGGAAACCATGTATAAAGACAGGCGGCTAGACACAGCCTTTCTGACTTGTGGACACTTTGACTTTCTGAGCAGAGTGACCTCTGAAAGGAGATGTTTTGGAAGCTCAGATAGTAGCGTAGCCTTTGGCTTACGTGGCCTTGAGGGGAGGAGGCAAGGGTCCAAGACTGGTATGTTCAGATGGGCAGAAGTCAGGGCAGACAGAGACACCAGTGTGAGTTCTTCCATCAGAGAATTCATACCTGAGTTCACACAGGGGCATGTGTTACCTATGATTGAAACCCAAGCGCTCCTTCCCTGTAAAGGTGGTCTCACTTACTAAGGAGAATCACAGAGACAGGCACAAAAGGGTGCAGCCGTGAGCATGGCTCCCAGGGGCGAGAATGCCGTCACACACAGTACTCAGAGTCTTCAGGGCTCCAGCAAGAAGTCCTGTGGGGAGAAGATGCTCAGGCATTGGGCTGCTCTGACCGTGGGTATCCATGATTCCTCTGCCAGGTGATGCTGTGTAATCCCATCTGTGGTGTGGTCTATGCCCTGACGGTGTGGCGCTTCTTCCGTGATCGCACAGAAGAGGAGGAGATCTCGCTGATTCACTTCTTTGGGGAAGAATACTTGGATTATAAGAAGAGGGTGCCCACAGGCCTGCCTTTCATAAAGGGGGTCAAGGTGGAGCTATGACGGGCGAGGCCCTGTGGGACCAAGGACCCTCTGGCCTTGCGCAGCCGAGGACAAAACTGTTTCAAGTTGGGCACTACAGAGTGAGTTTTCTTAATTGTTTTATATGTAGCTAATTACTCCTCAGAACGTCACCCAGGACCTAATGTTGAGAAGACCTTAGGTCCAAAGGAGCCTCGGCAGCCGTCTCCTGCACAGGCAGAGCAAGGAGGGTGTCAGCACCTCTTCCTCCGTGCAGGATGATGACCCAAGCCACAGTCTTCTGCCCCTCAGGTCAGGGTGTGTGTGCACGGTGACCAGGCCACTCGGGAGATGGACACTGCCTTGACAGCACTCAGCCCGCTGGAGGAGTGGTCAGAGTGCCGGATGTCAGCATTCGAAATGCATAAAACCCTTCCTTTCCCCCCAGCCCAGCACAGCTCTAACCTCTGTCTAACCGCCCGTGAGTGCATGAGCACCTGCATTGACTCGAAAGACCTCTGCCCTCAGCTCACCGTACATTTAATCATATTTACACACCAATTTTATAAAAATAGCAGTGTAGATTCCAAGGGACACTCAGCCTCCATGCCTTGGAGTTTCTAAGTCCGGCTTTTACACGGCAGCAGGCAGCACAGACCCTCTGCAGCTTCTGAGTAGCCATTGAACCTGGGCTGAGGATGTGGGCCCCAGGGCTCTCCCAGGGTCCTGGCCTTGGCTCGTCTGTTCCCCTAGGAAGTAATGTCCGTGCTAACGCCTCCGAGAAGGCTGCCGGCCCGCCGTGTGTGAGGTTGTTCTCATTTATCATAGCTTGATTTTTTTATTTTTATTTTTATTTTTTTATTTCTGAGTTGCAATGAGTCTGTCAAATTAGTTTCCTGTGTTTTTTCAAAGTAAGTCACCCTACTGCTGCAGCAAGTTTTCCCAGAAGGTTTGGGCGTAGTTCACACACCTGGAACTTGAGGCAGTTTAACCCTCAACAGTCCACAGTAGAGAGGCCTAGTTGAGTTTTGTTAGCATCTTGGATCTGCTGGCCTGGAAGAACATTGGCTTTCTCTGTGTTTAGCACAAAAGCTTTCAGAGGTGCGGCCCTTGATTAATCCTGGACGGGACAAGAGCCTGGTCCTGGTGTGAGGTCCTTCCAGATTTGGTTTTCTTTGTTGTCCTCAGAGCATCTGCCTTGAGGTGTAGAAGAGTCTTAAAGTCTGCAGGACTGAACGGATTGGTGTACCTCCCCTTCCCCGCCAGTTCCAGCAGAATCCAGATCAGCCTGCATAGCGCTCTCTGCAGCAGCCAGGCCCTCTCAGACTTGAGAAAAACCTTTTCCTTCTCCCCTGTACCACTGAGCAGACATTGCTGGGTTGAAAATAATGAATCTTAGTATTCCTGGCCTTCAGCCATCTGGTAGTCCTTAAGTACAGTTCTGTCTTCCCAGGACTCGGAAGACTCCTTCCTTCACAAGCACACCAGTGCACAGAAGCACACTTGGTACATCAGGTCAGGCAAGCCCAGGCCCCAACAGTGGCCATGGTGTTGCTAAGCACGCTGGCAGCTTGCTGTACGTAGGCCAGGTCTCCACCAGGACACCAAAGTGGGGTTGGTAATGAATGCCAAGCTGGAATTGAGCAGGACACAAGTCCACATGGGTGCTGACCTGGGGCTTGATGTTGGCAGTGGGAGCACTGGCATCTTCAGGAACAACGTGACAGTCCTGCCCCCGTGGGGGACGTTGACTTTGACGCTCACAGTGTACTGGATGGCCGGTTAAAGCAGGACTGCTGTTCTGTGCCACAGTGAACTGCTGCTGCTGGGCTCTTGGCAGCGCTAATGGGCACGTGTGGCTGGGCTTGCAGGTCTGTTCTGTGAGTCCTCAGAGGCCCATTGGAAGGAAGCTGGGGTGGAGGTGTGCTCTGGCAAGAAGGTGGGCAAGGTTAATATGGGTGAGTGTTCAATATTGAGATGCTGTAAGACCTTGTCAGACCGGGAAGAGTGGTCAAGTGGGCGGTTAGTACTGTGTTGTAGGATGCAGCCAGAGTTGACAGAACCTCAGGAGCTGGGTAAATGGGTAATTCTAGTTTATTCTTGACATAGTAGACAGGCATTCCATCAGCTGGGAGGTGGCCCCAGCATCGGTTCCTCCACCAAAACTTCTGAGAATTCAGAACCCTCAGTGCCCTAGTCAGTGTAGTAAGCAGGGAAGCCGTCAGGAGGGTCTCAAGCCAGCCCAGCTGCAAGTGTTCCCTGGGCCAGCCTGCAGACATGGATGCTGCAGCCAGAACTCTGAGACCACCTCCCAGCTCTGCAGTGGTGCTGACTGCTGTTGAGGTGGGGATGTGGCCAGAGCACTGTTCATTTCCACACCCTCCTGGGCTGGGGCCTCCCATCAGAGTGGGGTCACGACTGCCTACCTCACAGGGGTGTTGTGGGAAGGTGAGCTGGACAACAATGAAATCTTAGAAGGAGAACCAGGTGTGTCTATGTGAAAAAGCAGTGTGTGCTAATGTGTGTCCAAAAAACGTTCTGCCAGCTTGGAAGTAATTTATTTTAGATTTTATGGCTTAATTATTTTTTTGTTCTATATACCAAAGAGGCTTACGGGTTTGCCAGTTACCATGTGAGGCCAGTTGGCTCAGGGGCTGCCAGCCATCAGGACCTGAGGCTTAAGAGCGCTGTGGTAGCCATGGCTGTTGTCCACACCAAGCTGCCCGGGAATAACCATGGTCATATGAGTGGAGACAGACCACACTTCCTATAGCCTACCCCACTCACTAGGCTGAAAGCGAGAGGGAATGGATTTTTGGCAGTCGTACCCAGCTCTTTCTCAGTGCATCTAAGCTGGGCTGGCTCCAGCCTCCTGTTCCCCTTGAGGGCCATGAAGTTGTCTTTTTGATGGATGGAGAGTAGCTAATGACAGCCCTTGGCATTGTGGGTGGTAAGGCTGAATGTTGGCATTTGATGTCACCCTCCACCTGCCAGAAGCCAGGAAGTTCAGCCTTAAGACAGCCCCACAGAGAGGGAACCCAGGCCCTGGGATCTCTTGGTGAGATACGAGATTGCACCCTAGGAAAGGTGAGGTGGTGTTCTTTAAAGAGCATCCCAAGGGTGTGGCCAGTGGAAGACCGGGCCACCCTTCTGACACTCCCAGGATGCCAGTTGGCCAGCCACAAGGGACTATGAGCCTCTTCTGGGCAGGATTTGCTAGGTGATTGGTCTCTGCTGCTGTGGGCTGGAGGTTATCCTAACTTAGGAATGCAGCCGTGACAGGTGGCAGCAGAATCCAGTTGATGAGGCATTTCAGGTGTTATAAGGGCTGCTGTGTCCTAGGGTTTCCACAAAGGAAGGCGTTGTTAGGAGATTGATTTGTCTACGTGCAGGCTTCAGAGTAGAGGATTTTGTGTGGAAACTGGGCACCTTACAGAAAAACAGCTACTTGGCAGTCATGGGGCAGGAAGCATTTAGAGGCCCTGTGGCAGCTAAAAGCTGGTGTGGCAGTTTGTGATGGCCTCCAAGCAGGGCAGGAAGTTTAACAGCGGTGTCCTTGGTGGGAACTGCTGCTTGGACCTAGGGTATAGCCTTATCAGTTCTTCCCACTTATTGCTAGCTTGGCCACTCAGGGCAAATCCCTGAGGGCTCAGCCAAAGCTCTTGGGCTGCCTCCTCCAAACACGAAGCGAGGCCTCCTCCTCCTCCTCCTTCTCCTCCTCCTCCTCCTCTGCATTCTCCCCTGCCTTAGGTATCTCTGCTTCACAGTAGCGGCAAGGTAGAGCCCTCAGCCTCCCCATGGGCGGGCGGTGGCTGCATGGCTGTGAAGCTTGTCCCTCGCTCGTCCTGAACTCGGCAGGCCTCCGTCCTGAGTGGAAGCAGGCCTCCGTCCTGAGTGGAAGCAGGCCTCCGTCCTGAGTGGAGGCAGCTTGTCTGACCCATTGCAAGGAAGGAGAACTATAGAGTAATCACTGTACTCTTCTTTTTACATACAGAAATGTTTATTTAAATATATTAAATGGGATTTTCTTTCACAGATACTGAATATTCTTTCTAATTCTTAAATAAAACTGTACTTGGTTTCACTATGAACAAGTGTGACTGTGTAGACCGTAGAACTATACCCGATAATCGTGTCTAGAGAGTTGGGCACCACCAGCATCAAATCATCTGTATTTTGTCTATTGGCTGTCTTCTGAGCCCAGTGGTTCTCAACCTTCCCAGTGCTGTGACTTTCTAGTACACTTCTCATGTTGCAGTGACCCCCAACCATGAAAGTGTTTCAATGCTACCTCATAACTGTAATTTTGTTACTGTTATGAATAGTAATGTAAACACCCGACATGCAGGATAGCTGATACAGGACTCCACAGGGGTTGCGACCCCCCCCCCCCAGGTGAGAACCACTGCTTTAGCACTGTGGGTACCTGAGAGCTGTTCAGGAAATCACACGGTAATTGTGTGATGATGGAAAACTGGCGTTGGCTGTGTAGGTGAGTCAGGCTGAGTGCTGTCTTAAGACATGAATCGGGGGCATCGTTTACCCTCCCAGAACAGACTGTGGGTCATGAAGCTTCACAAAGTTTTTAAGATTTATTTGTGTATGTATTTTACCTGCATGTATGTCTGTGTGCTATATACATGGTACCCATGGGGCCCAGAAGAGGGCGTCGGGTCCCCTGGACTGGAGTTCGAGGTGGTTGTGAGCACCATGTGGGTTATGGGGTCCGAACCCCAGGTCCTCTGAAAGAGCAGCAGTGCTCCTAACCTCTGAGTCAACGCTCGCAGCCTGTGTGCCAGTCTTGAGAGAGCTGGCTGCCCAGACCCAGTGACTAAGCTGATCTCTCTGCGTGAAGTCACCCTCATTGGGATTTTGCATGCCTCCTTTATTGCATATGTGCGCAGGAGTCAGTTCTTCTGCCATGTCCGTCCAGGTTGTCAGGCTTGGTAGCAGGCCCCTTTAGGCCCTGAGCCAGCTCTCCACTGCTCATCTCCTGCTTCCAACTTGGGCCTGAGGTGGTCTTGGTTCTTTAGTGAAGGCCCTTCAGGGAGACTGCTCAGGGGCCAGCTGCCTCCACTGGGTTCAGAAGCCTTGTCTCTCTTCTCGATGGTGCATCCCGCGTCAGTCCTAAAGAACAGTCTGATGTGAGCTGGGTGACCCCACCCCTGTCACCTCACTGTGTCCAGCTTTTTTTTTTGTTTGTTTGTTTTGTTTTGTTTTTGAGACAGGGTGTCTCTGTGTAGTTCTGGCTATCCTGGAACTCACTCTGTAGACCAGGCTGGCCTCGAACTCAGAAATCCGCCTGCCTCTGCTTCCCAAGTGCTGGGATTAAAGCACTTGGGAGGCACGTGCGCCACCACTGCCCGACGTGTCTAGCTTTCATAATGGACATCCACAGAGATGATACAGTGCCTGCCTCTCGAGCCTGCCATCTGCAGTGAGTCACCCCAGGTCATGGCTGTTGGCAGCTCAAACACCAGGGCATCTAAACATTTCTGCGGCTCAGACTGGTGGGGCCCATGGCCTGGGGCCTCCCTACAGCACATCAACTTTGTGCAGAAGCGGGAGACCCTCCTGTTCTGCCTTCAACACTACTTCAGACAGCCCTGAGTACAAGGCCTCTGCAGTCCTCACAGTGACTAACGCCTGCCTGTTTGTGCTTCATTGTTTTGGTTTGGAGTGTTCGTATTGCAGCGTGGCCCCAATAGCCTAAATTCTCCAAGTAGCCCAGGCTAGTTTTAAGCCCTTGCAGTATTCCATCTCTCTAGTATAGTGGTTAAACGTGTGTGTGTGTTTGTGTGTTACACATTACATACGTGTGCATGTGGAACCAGAGGACAACCCAGGGTACTGTTCCTCAGGCCCCAGCCACACTGGGGGTCAGGGGAAGACAGTCTCACTGGCCTAGAGTTTTCCAGGTAGGCAGGCTCTGATGGTGGCCAGGAAGCCCAAGGGTTCCTCCTGTCTCCAGTGCTGAAATGACACTCAGCCGTTTGGTTTGGTTTGTTCTGTTTTTAGGCAAGGACTCACTATGTACCCCTGGCTGTTCCAGGGGGTTGGGTGTGGGAGATATATGTATGTGTTAGGAGCCGCGTCCGCCATCGGAAGATGGCGCCAGTTTCCTGCTTCCTGGTTCTTCTGCAAAGAGCTTTAGCAGAACACCAGGATAGCCTATCAGAAGCAGAAAAGGAAGAGAGCGCTAAGAATGGAACGAAGAGAAAGGAAAAGAAAAAAGAAGAAATTAAAAAAGAAGTAGCTACAAAAGTGGAACAGAAAGGGCCTAAGAAAAAGTTGTACCCAGTGTTAACTGAGTTTCGAAATCTAAGAATTAACGACTCCGCCTCTGAGGAGACGTCCTCGGGGGACGAAGAAGATACAGAGGATACCGACACCTCATCCTCTGATAGTGTGTTAGATCTTGAGGAACAGGCAGAGTTAGATAGAGAAGCAGCTCGTTATGAGTCTGAAAGATACGGGCTGGATTCGCCTTATGCACCGGGGTATGCCCCATCTGCCCCACCATTGGAGGAAGTAGTTAGAGTTAAAAAGAAAAAACCAAAAGAGAGACAGGAAAGACTGCCGTCCAATTCTCTTATTACAGCTAAGGAGAGAAAAAAGATAAGAGTAGCCTTTCCTGTATGGGAAGATGCTAACCAAACTAGGCAACATTCACAGCTAGATTTAAAACAATTAAAAGCGCTAGCCGAATCAGTACAGACTTATGGAATCAATGCCTCTTTTACTCAGGCATTAATAGAAAGACTTGTGGTCAGTGCCATGACACCAGATGACTGGTATAATACTGTTAAGGCTTGCCTGACTATGGGACAGTATCTAGATTGGAAATCTATTTTTCAAGAACTCTGTGCTTCACAGGCAAGACAAAATTTAGCTCAGGGGCATCCACAATGGAACTTTGATATGCTTACAGGACAGGGACAATGGGCCATCAATCAAACGGCCTACCCTGTAGAAGTATATGAGCAAATTAATAAGGCAGCTGTAAAAGCATGGAAAAGCCTACCTAACAAAGGACAGGTTTCAGGAAACTTGACAAAAATTATCCAAGGGAACACTGAGCCATTCTCAGACTATGTGGCTAGGATGATGGAGGCGGCAGGAAGGATTTTTGGAGATCCTGAGACAGCCATGCCTCTCATAGAACAACTAATTTTTGAACAGTGTTCTAGAGAGTGCAGAAATGCTATTACACCTTGGAAAGGAAAAGGACTAAATGCATGGATGAAGGCTTGTAGAGAAATAGGAGGACCTCTATCTAATGCTGGATTGGCAGCTGCTGTTTTAGCGGCTCAGAGGACCTCTAATGTTAAATGTTTCAGGTGTGGAAAGCTGGGACACATACAAAGACAATGTAGAGCACCTGGCACTACTAATAACAATCGTCCAAAGGTGCCTGGAATGTGTCCTAGGTGTAATAAAGGAAAACATTGGGCAAATGAGTGTAGATCAGTTAAAGACGACAGAGGACGTGTAATTTCCCCTCTGCCAAAAAACGGGCAACGGGGCCCACGCCCTCAGGGCCCACAAATGTATGGGGCGATAGAGAACCTACAGAACAACCCTCAACAACATCAAAGGATAAGACAATCAGGAGAGCCACGTCAGGCTCGGCAGGACTGGATCTCTGTGCTACCACCAGAGCAGTACTAACACCTACCATGGGGTGTCAGCCTATACCTTCTGATTTTTCAGGACCCTTACCTGAGAATACAGTAGGACTAGTGCTAGGAAGATCGTCTACGACTCTGAGAGGATTAACTGTTCACCCCGGAGTCATAGATCAAGATTATGAGGGACAAATAAAAATCATGTGCTCATCACCAAGGGGAATTAGCTCTATAGCTCCTGGTGATAGAATTGCACAGCTATTGGTCCTCCCTAGTTTACATTCATTCTTTCCTAGTAAAGGTTTAACTAGGGGCATGAAGGGATTTGGCTCCTCTGGAGGACAGAATGTATTTATTTCATTAGATTTAGATAAACGCCCCACCTTAGAGTTGAAAATTCAAGGAAGGCTTTTCACAGGCCTCCTAGACACAGGAGCAGATACTACCATTATCTCTACCAATTGGTGGCCAAAAAACTGGCCTGTTAATAGCTCTTCACAAACCTTACAAGGTCTTGGATATGAGTCTGCTCCTGATGTTAGTGCAAGAGTATTGCATTGGGAAGATTCTGAAGGCAGACGAGGGACAGTTGTTCCTTATGTCTTGCCACTTCCAGTTAATTTATGGGGAAGAGATATCCTTAAACAATTGGAATTTAGGCTCACTAATGATTATTCTACACAGAGTCAAAAAATGATGAAAGAAATGGGGTGTGTCCCTGGAAAAGGATTGGGGAAGGCCTTACAAGGCAGGATCAGCCCTGTTTCTATTACAGAAAAACAAGACAGGAAAGGGCTGGGTTTTTCCTAGGGGCCATTGAGGATGCATTGCCTATACCTTGGTTGTCAGAGGAACCTGTATGGGTTCCTCAATGGCCGTTAACCTCTGAAAAACTAGCAGCTGCAAAAGCTCTAGTTAAAGAGCAACTAAAACTAGGACATCTGGAGAGTTCTCAGTCACCATGGAATACACCTATATTTGTGATTAAGAAAAAATCAGGTAAATGGAGGTTATTACATGATCTTAGAGCTATTAATAATCAGATGCAATTATTAGGATCAATTCAAAAGGGTCTGCCACTGCTGACAGCCTTGCCTAGACATTGGGAGATTATAATAGTAGATATTAAAGATTGTTTTTTCTCTATACCTTTACATCCCAAGGACAAAATTAGGTTTGCTTTCACTCTCCCAAGTATTAATCATGAGGAACCAGACCACCGATATCAATGGAGGGTCCTGCCACAAGGCATGGCCAATAGTCCCACTATGTGTCAAATATATGTCTCTTCTGCTATTGAATCAGTTAGAAAACAGTTTCCTAAGGTTAGAATTTGTCATTTTATGGATGATATACTCTTGTGTACTAATAACAAAGAAGTTTTACACCAAGCGTTCTCTCTGTTAGTTTCTACCTTAAAACAGAAAGGACTATCTATAGCGCCTGAAAAGGTTCAGGAAGGA